GACAGAAAGCAAGCAAATCATCAAAGAAAGACGCTTCAACTTGTTCTCTTTACCTGTGTAGCAAATGTCTATTATAAAGTTTTAAGAGACAGGTACGTTGAAAGAAAGAAAGAAGACTGTCTCACTCACTCACTGCTTCACTCACTCACTGTCTCACTCTCACTCACTGGCACATTCACTCACTCTCTCCCTCAGTCGTTGACTCACACACTCACTGTCTCACTCACTCACTACCTCACACACTCATGGCCTCACTCACTCACTGCCTCACTTGCTCACTGCCTCGCTCACTCACTGACTCACTCTCTCACTGCCTCACTCACTGTCTCACTCACTCACTGGCACATTCACTCACTCTCTCACTCACTCACTCACTGTCTCACTCTCTCAAAATAAAAAAAAAATTTTTAAAGAAAGAAAGAAAACAATAAAATACCAAGAATTCCATGACAATCCTACTGACCTGTCCTCAATCACTACATTTTGGCCAAACTGATCTCTTGGCTCTCACCACCTTCTGGCTTGGAGAACCAATTTATCCTCCCACACAGTTTTGAGGCCTTCAAGCCCAGGGCTGCTTTGCCCCTCTTTGCATATCCTGAGGCCCGCACAGGGAAGTTCTCAGTCTCTGGCTGGTAAATGGCATCAGCCTGTCAAGAGTCTGGAGCTCTCGTGCCCTCTGCCTTTGCAGCCTTGCTGACGTGGGGCCCAGTCCCTGCGATGGCTGTACAAGGGCAGTAGCGGACAGCAGAGGTGGTGAGAGTAATTTCCTTTGGCCTCTCTCCAGCCCCTGCACTCTCTTATGATCAACCATGCTGTGCAGAAACGTTGAAAGCATAGTCCGCTGTAACTTCACCAATGACCCACTTACATCACTCTGAGGGAATTATCTGCTCAGACCAAAGAGGTAATATAAGGGGGGGAAAAAAACCCCAAAAATATCTGTGTACAAGGAAGCTTCTTTATAGCAATGTAATGCATAAAGACAACAAACCTGATAATCACCTAAGCGTTTCCCAACAACTACGACTGGATCCCCTTAGAAAATAATCTGGTTGCTTTTTCGGTCTGCCTCTGGGCTCGCTCAGGAATCGAGATCGACCCATATGGATTTGAAAGGCCTGAAGACTTTGATTATGCATCTTACGAGGAGTTTTTT